GAAAAGATCCACTGCATACCATCCACAATCGGATGGTCAATCCGAAGTAGTGAATCGAGTATTGGAACAGTTCTTGCGATGCTTTGTAGCTGAGTCTCCTAAGCACTGGTTCAGATTGATAGCTTGGGCAGAATTATGTTACAATACTGCATCTCATGCAGCAACTGGCATGTCCCCCTTCAAAATTGTATATGGTCGTGACCCTCCTGGAATACTAGACTACATTCCCACAACAGCCACAACACCTAAGGTGGACACATTATTGACTGATAGGCAACTGCTGCTACAACAGCTCAAGAGTAACTTACAAAAAGCCCAGCAGCTCATGAAACATCAAGCAGACAGCCATAGAAGGGATGTTCATTACAAACCTGGTACATTGGTGTGGGTTCGCCTTCATCCCTATAGACAACAATCACTTGCTGCCCGTATTTCCAATAAACTTGGGTACAAGTACTTTGGACCCTATCCTATTAAGAAAAGAGTGGGAAAGGTTGCTTACAAACTCACCTTACCTGCCTCAGCCAAGATCCACCATACTTTCCATGTGTCACTCCTCAAATCGTTTCAAGGGGACCATGATATCTCTCCATTTCCCTTGCCAGAGTTATTTACTGGTGGTTTGCCTGTTATGCAGCCTAAACAAGTGTTAGCCTCTCGACAACATCAGGATGGTACAATTGAAGCTTTGATATTATGGGAGGGAATGCCTGCTGAACAGACTTCATGAGAAGGTGTAGCAGAACTCCAATAGCAGTTTCCTAACTTCAACCTTGAGGACAAGGTTGTTTTCAATGGTGGGAGTATTGATACAACACTAACTGATGAGGGGAAAATAAAAGATGCAAGAGCTGGAGAAACAGAAGAAGAGAACCTTGGAGATATAAGAGAGCCAAGCATAGCAGAAAGGAAAACAGTTAGAGAAAGAAGGAAGCCACTAAGATTTAGAGATACATTGTAAATAAAAGAAGTGTAACCGAAATAGCAAGGTGTTTAGTATAGGATGACGTGTAAGGGAAAGGGTAAATGTGTATCGATATAAATCAATTGCTTTGTACATATGTCAAGTAACTGAAATAAGAATTGAATCATTTTTCTCTCACCTCTGAGTCTCTTCTCTCTTCTCACCCCTTTCTTCGTTTCTTCCTTCATAGATAGAGATAACCTCTATCATAGTTCAATTACTAATTATGTTAAAGCTGAACTTGGACGGAAAAAAATCACAGAAGGTAATCGACAAGAAAAAAAGCATAGGGGTGTAAGTGATAAAAGAATAAATTATAAAAGGTTTTTTTAACTTTTCCCTAATATTTAATTTGACATAAAAAGGATTGATTTCATCTAATAGCATATCGACTCAATTCAAAATTTTCTAATTTTAAATTTTATAATTATGTTTTTCTTTTCTTTTTTTATCTTTTTCATTTTGATGGTAAGCTTCTATCTTTTATTCATTCTATTTAAGTAACTTTTATTTTTATTTTTTTAATTTGTAGCTTACTTACTAGTTACTAGCGTTGCTTTACTGCTTCTACATTTTTCAGCCTATTGAGATGTCGCAAAATGCTTGTTATTATTGAATGTCCACCCTCACTTCCCCATGCATCCTACCAAAATCCTCCAACCAAACACCACCTAAAGAATGGGTTTCAATTTTCAAGAGGAAGAAAAGGAACTCTACTAGGACTCATTGATTCAAATGTTAAAATTAAATGTCATTCCTTTGAATTCATTGACTAGTTGATTAATAATATTTGGTTTGAAATATAACGGATTTATTGCATCTAATAATATATGAATTCAAGTCAAAAATCTCAAATTTTAAAATACAAAATATTCACACTATATAAGTATTCTCTAGTTTTTTTCATTCATTCACGTTAGATTTTTTTGAGTACGATTTCATTTTTCTCATTTTGGTTCAATTCATATTTTTGGTTTAAGAATTTTACCCTTTTATTTCACTTTATCTTCTTTTAATGACCTTTTTTTCTATATATTTTTGTAGTATTTCATATCTAAAGCTTGCTTAATGGTGCTGTTTTTTTGCTTTTACATTTCAGCCTATTAAGATAACGCGGCTTAAAGAAGGGGTATGCGAAAGAGGAGGCCGTCCTAGGATAATTTTCATGTTTTTTATTTTTATTTTGAGGGTACATTATTTTTATATTATATAATATAGACAGCTAATAACGTTTAATATCCCACATACTAATTTTAGTAATCATATATATATATATATATATATGATCAGAATCATTTTACACTAGTGTAAGTTATATACTTAATCTTGTTCATTGATCTCACTTATATCTAAGGGTTTTAATTTTTTAGTAATGTGAACCATTAGATACAAGTGGATCAATGGTTAAGATTGAGTGTTAGACTTTTAACTCTTGCCGGCGCAAGAATATACTGCCTCATTTATATATATATATATATATATATATATATATATATATATATATATATATATATATATGCAGAAAATCTGAACCGTTAGATGCAGAAAATCAATGGTTAAGATTTGGTGTAAGACTTATTATTCTTACACCGGTGTAAGATGATCCTGCCCCATATATATATATATATATATATATATATATATATATATATATATATAGTATTTTGGACAACTTAAAATTATTTTAAAAAATTGATACCACAAATTGTTATGGATTCATATATGAGACCCATTTATTACTAAGCCCAATAAGGGACAATTCAAATATAAATCAGATTTAATCAAAGAAGATATCCATCAAGGATATCAATTCTAATACGACAACATAGTACATGGGTTTGGGCCGCTCGGAAGTAAACTCTAAAAATAAAAGGTAAAGCTGACAGGTACTTTACGTTCTCTCTTTTACTGTTATGCTGTTATTGTGCACACACACGACCTCTTTGGCGAAAGCTATCTATTATTTTTCTTCTGTACACAGTGATCTGCTTGACTTAAGGGTATCTAACTCATAAATACCTTAGAGAGACACCTAGATCTAAAAGTTACATACTAGCTTATTGAGCTAGACATCTATGTCTTGAGGACAAAACACAAATTATATTAAGTTGGTATATTTTAGATAAATTAAATTGCAGAAGAAAAAATTATCCATCTATATTAGGGATTATAAAGAAGAAATATTAAAAATTTACAAAGAAGATTTACATAATTAATTTAAAAGATTTGAATTTAAATTTTAACGTAATTTTTTATACAACAATAATATTGAGATTTAAATCTATAACTTCATACAAATTATTTAAATTTCTTATCATAATTAGTCCATTCCTTAAAACTTATAACAGAATTTAAAAATCACGTACGTCAACTACCAAATAAATAAATAAAAAATCACGTACGTCACTCTATAACAAAAAAGAATATATTAAGATTTAACTCTATACTTATGAATTGTAATTTATTATACAAGAATGAATAAGTGAAACCTTTAAAAAAAATTGTGCTTTTTATTCACAAATTAAACATTTAATAGCCGAAATATTTTTGGAATCCAATACACTTCGATGATTTATTTTGCAACTTGATATTTGATGAAAAATAATGGAAAATAACATGACTATTTTGTCGAAAGTTAAATGATTGGTTATTTTTTTTTATCATTTTACTTTATTATTTAATCTTATCATTCCAAAATTTAATTTTAATAAAAATAATAATTAAAAACCATAAAAATAATATTTATATATATATATATATATATATATATATATATATATATATAATCAAAGAAAGGGCTCTTCTAAACCCATTTTCTCCGTTCTCAATACTGCACTTATTATGAGGAGCATCTATCCCTTAATAGCTTTTTAATCGAATTAATATATTCCTCAATTTTTTCAATTGTTATAACTAAAATCTTTTGTTAATTTTTTTCTACTTAAAAAATTGTTAATTTTTTTTTTTAACTTAAAAATCTCTACCAACTGAACTGATCGAACTATTTTAGATTATTTTTCATTCAAAACTCAAAAACTAAAATACTGTTATAAAATATATATTTTAATATGTGGATGATATTTAATCTCTCAAATGCCTCATGGTGTGTGGATGATCCTTTGGTTGCTCATGGCTTTTGATATACTATGTAACCACCACATTAATAATGTACTCAAGTGTACTCATTCCTTCATCATGTTTAAAGTCCTATATAAAAGGACATGACTCTTGTAGGAATTCTCATGATCAATGTATAATAAAATTTCTGCAATACTTTCATACTTACTCTCTTATTTCTTTTCACTTATTTTTTTTTATTTTATAACAAAAATTATATTTCACCAAAAATATAAAATCCCCAACTATTTGAATAAATTTTTTTTAAGGATTTACTTTTTAGATAAAAAAAAATTGAAAGAAGGATTTGACTGTACATAGTAGTTAAAATAATTAAGGAGTGCTTACCAAAAAAAAATTAATTAAAAGCTCGTTTGGTATATATGATAGGATAAGAACAAATAAAATAAAAGAGTTGTTTAACTAAATTATATTTTCTAGCAGTAATATTATTAGCTTCAACTAAGAGTAGACTTCTAAAATCAGGAAACAAATCATGAAACATTCATGTAAGATTCTGATCTAATGGTATTGGAAAGTTATACGTAAAGATAGACAAAAAAAAAATAATAGGTAGAATATCCTATACTTTGTTATTGTAGATATATTTTATCAATGGAAAGATCATAGTTACATCAATTTAAGCTCATCACTTGTAACTGCTGTTTTATCAAAATATAATTTAATTTTTAATCAGATATTATCAACAGTAATTTAAAGTTAGTTAATTTTGAAAGTAGCAACAACAAATCCGAGGAATATTATTCTAGTTTCCGAGGAATATTACTTCAGTTACCTACTAAATTGGACTTTGGAATTTATAAATAGGAGTAATACTATTGTAACTGCCTATCACGTTGGACTTTGTAATTTGTGAACACTGAAGAGTGAGTGAAGAAGAATCACAATCAGAATCGAGATGTCTTCTTCGCCCAGTAAGCTCCACCCCACATAATATGTTCTTCGGGAATCATGATTTTGTTCTTTGATGTGTTCTCTTTAAATTCCCAAGTTTTTTTTTTTTTTTCATAAATTTTTTTGGTTACCATTGTATTTACTTTCTCCGTTAGCCTTTACCTTTATTATCATTATTATAATATATGGACTTTTGTATCTGTTTCCTTTGGGTGAGAATGTGGCATAAAACGAAGTTTTTTGGGTTCTTAATCAATCGATAGTTCATTGACTCATTGTCATTCATTTAGCTGTTGAATGGATCATGGGAGTTGGGACCCAACAACTTCCTTTAATTTTGGGTATTCACTAACTACTCAAAAGGTTAAATGGTAGGGTATGTTGAATGGACTAATTACTTAAATTTTGGGAATTGACTAATTTGGCTTTTTCAACTATAGAATTTTTTTTTATATTTATAATATAATAGTGTATTGGTTCGGGATAAAAGTGATGTTCACTTTTACTGCTTAGTTTTAATTTAGCAAACGACAAGTTAAGGAATGTGTCAGCTGGTTTAAATTCTCATAAAAAAAATGTATTATGTGTATGTTTGTCGTTATGTGTATGTTTGTCGTTTAATCTGATTGGTAATTCCTGCATTTCCCCAGTGGGAGGAAGGAAGAGAAGTTTGATTTACAAAGCAAACAGCTTTGGTATTCCTCTCAAAATTTTCTTATGTATGAACCTTAAGCCCATGTCAAACTTATATAAATTTATGGATTGCTCTTGAGGATTCTATATGATTAGCACTCATGATAAGCATGAAAGGACTTAAAATTGGTGGTAATGTTAACCTCGTGTTTGATTTTCATGCCTTAAAATGTTCCTCTTGCTGTTATGAGTGTCTGATTTTCTGGGATGTATTCCTCTTGCCTTAAAATGTTCCTCATGCCTTAAAAAGTATCTATATATATAAATGAACTTTGAATCCTTATTAGGTTTCACTATCTAATAAAAAATAAAGCCTGAAAAGGGTATTCGTGATTCTCATATCTTGGTTTAATAATTCTAAAATTAACAGGTTTTGCACTTTTGGTATTTCTATTGCTGGTTATTGGGTGTACTGCAAGGCCTTTGTATCAACTCCCTAGCAAAGGTGATTTCAATAGTAGTCAGCTTCTACAAACTTTTCGCCCATATAACATTGCACATCGAGGGTCAAATGGCGAGTTTCCTGAAGAAACGGGTCCTGCATACATGGTGAATAAACACATACTTCTCTTTTGGAAATTTTACATTCTTTTCTAATTCTTTTTATATATATATATATGGTTTGAAAATTGACCAAAATCATGTAAACAAAAAAAATAGCATCAAAACTTTACCACACTTTTCTTATCTGTTGACTGTACAATGAATAGCTCAAAGCTTTTTTTTAGTTGTATTCTATTTTTCAAACCTCCCCAGATGCCAGAGAGGGCAAGTCTTGCAATAAAATCGCTCTTTCTGACCAAAAGGACACGGATTCGAATATTGAAAATAATTTCTTTTTGAAAAAAATACAAAAGATAAGGCTGTATATATAATTTACTCTCATTCCTATCCCGCAAGTTGTGGAGGCTTGTGCACGGGGTTTTGCTCCGAATGAAAATCATGTACAAACTATTAGATACTGAAAGGTAATTGTATAGATATGATAATGAGTATCATTTTCAAACTAAGGTTATACTTGACTAAGAATGAATATCTCTTGCAGAGAGCTATCGAAGAAGGTGCAGACTTCATTGAAACTGATATCTTATCTACCAAAGATGGTTTTCTTATATGCCACCATGATGTTAACCTCGATGATACAACTGATGTTGCAAAATACAAAGAGTTTTCAGATCGTAAAAGGACGTATGAAGTCCAAGGGGTCAATATGACTGGCTTTTTTACTGGTATCATTCTTTGTTCAGCTTCGTTACAAATTTCCTACATGAACTCTCTTTAAGCATGTTTTATTGCTGATGTTTTTACTTCCTATTACCTAAATGCATAAGCATGAAGTGTATCTTGAATTCTTGTTCTCCATATGTCTTTTCACTCCCTTTTTGGCATCTAAAAAATTTTAGTTCTCTTTGAAGGAAACTAATTTGCTAAAATAGTTATACATTTGAAAGAATCTTATGTCAAGTTCTCAATTTGTACATGTGCAGTCGATTTCACATTAAAGGAATTGAGGACGTTGGGAGCGACTCAGAGGTTTAGCTTCAGGGATCAACAGTATAATGGTTAGTTCCTTCTTACAATTAGCAGCTTCTTCTTTAATTACATTTCATTTTCTCTTGTTTGTTTGGCTGGTTAATGCCTTGGTTTTTGAACTATTCTGTCATCAAAGTTCACTTAAATGGTACTTCTAAAACCATGATAAATGGAACTTTTATTCATGACAGTTTTAATATATATATTGATTTAAAGAATTGTGGAACTAATGCTCTTCTTCTTTTTTTCATGAATTTTTTATATGATTACTGCAGAAATTATTATTATTTTGGCACATACAAAAGTAGCTAACTATAAGTCTATCTTTTCGTTGGAATTTCTTTCAGGAAAATATCCAATAATCACTTTTGAAGAGTACATATCCATTGCTTTGGATGCGCCCAGAGTTGTTGGAATATATCCTGAGATAAAGAATCCAGTATTTGTCAATCAGCATGTGAGTATTTCTCCCTGAAATGCAACCAATTACTAAGTAACCATTGGCCAGATAGAAGAAAACTTGTAGCAACAATGATAAACCAATATAAGTTGCCCAAGAAGACAGAACTATAGATTTATCTTTCGTCTAACATTAGTATATATTAGAATCCACTATTTTTATTTTACATTTGTATCTAATGTTTTGTGTTGATGGCATCATCATGTAAAATTAATGAAATAAACCAACCATATTGTCTTTAAATCAATGATAATGACTCAGATGATATCGTTTGAAGTTTCTACTGATGCACATTGCATTATGAACAAAATTATTTTTATCAACCTGTTAGAATGTTTCAGGAAAAATCCTACAAGTTCACGCTTAACAAATTGGTCTTACTAGTTACCTTTATCATCTTTTAGACAATTTCTTTTCTAGAATGTTTGAGCTTTCTGTTTAACTAAGTTGATACAATATTTCAACAGGTGAAATGGTCAGATGGTAAAAGATTCGAGGACAAGTTTGTGGAGATGCTTCAGAAATATGGATACAAGGGTCCATACATGTCGAAAGATTGGTTGAAACAACCTGCATTTATTCAGTCATTTGATCCATCTTCACTTGTGTATATATCAAACCAAACAGACTTGCCTAAGCTTTTCTTAATTGATGATGTTACAATTCGAACAGAAGACACTAATCAGGTATGTTTTACCCCTGATGTAGCCTTCCTGAGGCTGCATAAGGATTATTGAATTTCTTTTGCTCTATGTAAATTCTTGGAAACAAAAGGATCTTTCTTATGTTTATGAAAATAATGATTAAAATTTTAGTAGTCTTTGGAGTTTGGACCACAAAATCACACAAAAAAAAAAAATGTATACTTATCTATAATAGATTGGTCCAAAAAAATCACACTATGTAAGTACTATATATATATATATATAGGGACATGATCCGTTTACAAATTTTTTGGAATTTTTTCACAAATTACAATATAATCTTCCGGAAGAACATAGTGTAATTTGTGAAAGTTTGTATTCTTCCGAGAGAATATAATGTAGTTTGTAAACAAAAAAGTTTGTAAATATAACCTGCTTCGTATATATATATATATATATATATATATATATATATATATATATATATATATATATATATATATTTATATTTTTTTGAGATATTCTAATCGGTTCATCGTTTTGTGATTAGTCCGATTCGGGACAAGTCTTGAGATCAAAGCTTTAAACCCCTTCCAGAAGAAATACTGGGAAGGAACAAATACATACTTTCACTCCCACCTGCTCAGTTTTCTAGCACCAAGTGAGCGCTATTATAATTTGAAGGAGTGTCTTGTCACAACAGTTGGTGTTGTCGCCGTGTGATCCAGAGATCACTAATTAACTAGCCTCTTGCAAATACAAAGAAAGACTTCCTATTATAGACCCACATAATAGGCCTGACCTTTCTCTGAACCTTACGCGTGAACCTTACGCGTGGCCAAAGATTTATAACATCATATTACCCTTTTTTATATGTATTATTTAATTTATTTTAAAAGAAATACCATCTCCATTTGGGATTTTTTTTTATACTCTAGGAGTATAAAAAAAATTTGTGCTCCTTTTGCTTTATACCCCTCTCTTCTCTTATATTTTCTCCTTATTCCCTTTTATTTTTTCATTTTTGGAACGGACCAACCCCGGATCACATTAGAAGCGCTCCTCCATTGATGTTATGCAATGTTTTTTCCAATTATAATTTGACTAATCCAAATCCTAACATAATTATTATGTGCAGTCATATGCCGAAATTACATCTGATAGATACTTTGACTACATAAAGCAATATGTGGTGGGAATTGGACCCTGGAAGGACACAGTAGTACCTGTTGTAGATAACTATTTGCAAACTCCTACTGATCTTGTTTCCAGGGCTCATGCACATAATCTGCAGGTAACCCTTCTTCTCTAAAGCTTGTTTTCTAGGTCTCCAAAATATATCAGTGTCTCCACATGAATTTTTTTTTCTCCCATTGTTGGACTTTATTAAAGCTATAAGTTGGGACTATCTCCTTAATACTTTCTTGGATAGACTGAAGAGCTAATAAATAACAACATGAATTGCTCTTATCAATGCAGGTGCACCCATATACATATCGAAATGAGAACCAGTTTTTGCACTTCAACTTTAATGGAGACCCATTTGCAGAGTATGATTACTGGATCAACAAGATAGGAGTTGATGGTTTGTTTACAGACTTCACTGGTAGCCTTCATCAATTTCAGGAATGGACCTCCCCCAAACCTTGAATATGATGGTCATGATAGCACTGCGTCAAATTTGTTGCATGAAATTTCCTCCTATGGATCATAAGTTGAGCACAACAGAGCAGTGTGTAGAGACAGTAGTAGTATTATATTTTGTTTTCATTTAGTAGTTTTAGGAGTTTGCCTCTTCTAAGAACAAGGAGCATTTTTTTGTTTTTTTAAGTTAATGAATAGACTTTAGCATTACTCCCTGTCTTTTCATGGAAAATTAGGATTATTGAGTGCACATCTTCTAGGCACAATTGCCCAAAAAATAAAGAAGTAAACATAGGTCTGTTTTTGTCATTGTTTCTACAAGAAATTTCAATTTTTTTTTTTTTTGGAATTACTCTACCCTAAACTTCCCTCGATATCCCCACAAGCTTTAACTCATCCCAAAGGTAACGTGTGATGCTAGAACCCAAGCCCTTTTCTTTAAAGAAATTTCAGTTTTGGATGCTAAGAAACTCAACCACTACTTTTAAACAGAAGGCTTCTTGATGATTAATCCATATAAACTCTGAAACTTCTGGGGGAATGGGACCTTCAATGTCACCAGCATCTTTTCAATAACTAATCTAACTGAAACACAAGTTTGGAATAACTCGTTGTATGTGTTGGTTGTATGTTGTTACTTAATGCTTGCTTGTTGTATAGATAATAACAATATCCTGAATGCAACTTTTTTTTTCTAGTAGAGACTATGGTAGTGTAAAGGACATAGTAAAATATGAATCATTAACTTTCATTTTCTGTTACAATGTAATTTAGTAGTAATAAATCGACTTCGATGTAAATATACAATAGGAGGAGAGGATAAATAGAAAATCAAAGACAAATCATAAGATGTGTAAGTGTAAGCCTTTTTTTTTCTTTCTAATAAGACAAAATTTTCTTGCTTCTTAATTAGTTCTTTGCTTTTGGTATGGTCCAATTCGAAGGAAAATTCAAATACTCAATATATATTCCAATTTTTGAAATAAATATATCACTCTCTATAGATTTTCTGAGTTTGGTATAATAAAATTAGCTGTGAAAATTTCAAGAATGAGTTTTTCATCCTCAGAACACCGAACTTTCCCTTGATGAGTGAGTAGCTATTCCAATAGTTTTATGGTTCAGTTGATTTACTAAAACTCTTTTTCATTGACATTTCTAATGAGTGTCTTCTCATTCACTTATCATTGGGTGGATATGTTAATGAAAGATTTTTTGTACATGACTAATCATGTGAAAACATGCCAAAGGACAATGAAATAAATTAGAGTAATTAAACCACTGCTATTACCCAAGAGTTGTTGATCAAGAGACGAACTAGCTAGACCCGAGAATTTCACCTTCTCATTTATTAGTCAAGGAGCATGCATTTTTACACACGGAAGTAGTTAGCAGCCAGAACTCGCCCTTTAAACGCAAAAGATTTTGTGCTACTATCTGAATGGTGAAAATGGTCATGAGAATATTAGAAAGCCTATTGGAGCGGGTTGCCCCATCAGCAATTGTCAAATCCTCTTTACTCATGTTCTGAGGTGAAAGAGGTAGCATGATCCCCTGGATGCTCCATTACGTGTACCTTGAGGATTTTGTATTCTGAATATATTTTAATAGATTCACCACTTCGTGACTAGTCCGATTGGGGATAGGTTTTGAAAACAAGCTTTAGAGAAGAAAAACTATGTGAAAAACTATGTTCAATATATTCAATCGATTCAGATCCAAGAGCTGTTTGGCGCAAGTCTCGGTGCTTCTTCAGATTCAGCTCTTCTTCATCTCTTCTTCATTTAGATTTTGCTTTGCAGTTTGTTGATATTGAACATATTCATGCACTGTTGAATTTTCTGAAATATTATGGAAGGTTTCAATTCGTTTGTGAATTTGTATTCTGAATCCATGGAAAACTAAATTTCTGAACCTGGTTTGAATGAACAAATAAACACCTTATAGTTTAATGTGAATCTCGTTAAGAATCTTTGTCAATTTGTTCAAGGAATTTTTAATGAACATTTCTCTTCATCTATGGCCAATTTGAACGAGGATAATTAGGATTGAATGTTGGAAAAACAACTTTTGGAGATTCCTTGTGTCGGCTAGAATAGGAATAATCAATCAACTTAGACCTAGGTTATTAAAGACGTTTGAGAGTGGATGACATTAATAATGTGTTTCATGACCAAAGGAATGTTCTGTCACTAGAAAATGTAGAATCGTTGTAGCGGACTAATTAGTTGATAAATGTGTTGTAGCAGATTCTGGAAATTTAGTGAAAAACAAGGTATTTGAAAGTAATTCGGATATGGAGTTTTATTAATCAGTAAAAAAAATTCTCTGTAAGTCAGTAGTTTAATTTCTGCATCATATCAGATTTTACTTAGATCAATTGCTTTCCTTTATCTTAGTTCATGATACTTCAATTGATTATTGAAAAGTTTATTAAATACACTGTCATATAAATCCTCGAGAAAACGATCACTCACTCTCACACACTCTATTACTTGTTGATCGTGTATACTTGCATGCGTAATAATTCTCTGTCTTATTATTCATAATCTTACATTGGAGATTTACAAATAATAGGCGTGAGAGAATGAGAAAATGATTTTTCAAGTGTAAGATTTTGACTTTTCTTAATGCTGACATTTTGATTGTTGTCCTGTTACATTACATGGGTGTTAGGGCCTTGCATACACCAAATCACAAATCTTCATTTTGTTTAAAGTTTGTACACAACTCTGGTCCCAACATAATTAGACAATATCGCCATTGGTTTGTGTTGTAAATAATAGTTTAGAATAGTAGTATAAAAGTCTCATATCATGTATATCTCTTTGTATTTTCTTTCTTTTAAGTTATATAATAGAGTATCCGCTGTGTAGTTGAGACACACGGATTACGTATAAATCTCCTTGTTCCTGATATTCACATGGTATCTAAAGCCTAACAAGATCCGCATCTTTCCGGTAGACCCACTGTCTACCGAGTAAAAATCTTCCCGGAAACTGTCACCGTCGTCAGTTTTCAGCCATCGTCTGCCACCACCGTCCTTCACCGAAAAAGTTTTTCGGCGGCCGTTCTGATTAAAAAGTACATCAACGGACTTAGAAGAAGTCGATCTACCCAACGCCGCCAATTGTTAATGCTAATCTACCCAAGACCGTCATCAGATGTTGCCAGCGCCGTGGACCACTTATTTGACTGCCGTTGACCGCTGTAAGAACCCACACCGTTAATTAAGGAAATTAATCAGTTAATTATGAGTTTAATGAGATAATTCCATAATTGACCCTAATAATTATTATGAGGCTCTAATAATTATAGTAAGTGAGTAAGAATGCTGAAAGTCGCTTTTCTGACGAAAAGTGCAGATACCTGTTCTGCTAGTCGGTATAAATGCGTACCGAAAAAGTATCCCAGAAAATTATAATAAGTGCATGATAATTCCTAGAATAATATATAGGACTTGTAAAATGAGTTTCAAGTTAAAATAATGAGAACTGGTGCCAGAAACTAGTACTGGCTATGAAAAGCGCGTACCGAAAAGGTGCTCTGAAAAATATGATAAAAATATGATAATTCTTGTAAAATTGAGTAGGTTAAGAATCCAAAGTTTGGGATTAAAATGCTAAGCGTAGCAATTAAAGTTAATACTGTGTGTTTTAAGCTTAAGTGGTTATATATACGTTAGTTGCACACAACCCTAGGCTGATCTTTAGCCTTTTGTGTGTGGGTTTTTGTGTGTGCTGGTCAGCCTCTTGGTGCCTTGCTTTCTCTTCACCATTTCTTCATGGAAAACCTCCAAAGTCTTCTCTTTTCCTTTGATTCTTCTCCTTCTTTCTTAGTAAACACTTGGTAGAGTGGTGTGGGAGGGTGAGTCAGCCACCTTTTGAGTTGGTGTTTCTGTTTTGAGGTAGGGAGAGTGTTGGCTTGGTGGTTGGAGCTTGGTCTTGGTGGTGAGGGCTTCAAGTGGTGATCTTTGTGAAGAAAGGAACCACCTTGAAGTGTATTTTCGTGCACCCTTTGTGTCAGCACCTTGGAGCTGTAGTCTGAGCTCCAAGAGCACCCATAGTTACTGCCTTGAAGCTTGGGTAAGTTGTACCACCTTTGTTCTTGAGTTTTAATGCTTAAAAGAGATGTCTTGGCATGTTTAATGAGTTAAACAAGTAACCAACTGGTATGTGGACATAAAAGAGTATAAAAATGCATGCTTTAATGTTTGGAAGTGATAAAAATGGAACCTTGGAAGGATATCTTCGCGAAATGCAGAAACTGCATTCTGTCGCGAAATATGCGGATATTTCCAGTGAGATATCCGGATATTGGATATCCTGATATTTCGAGTGGGATATCCGGATATGGGATATCCTGATATTTCCAGTGAGATATTCGGATATGGGATATCCTGATATTTCGAGTGAGATATCCGGATATTGGATATCCTGATATTTCCAGTGAGATATTCGGATATGGGATATCCTGATATTTCGAGTGAGATATCCGGATATGGGATATCCTGATATTTCGAGTCAGATATCCGGATATGGGATATCCTGATATTTCGAGTAAGATATCCTGATATTTCCAGTGAGATATCCGGATATTCTGGGATTTCGAAGAAGAATAGCGTACTGTTCATCCAGAATTGATGTTTGGGAGTTTGTGTGTAACATCCCGCCTAATTAGGAACCTATTTAAATTACAATTAGGAATGGGGTAGAGTATTTGCCTTCGGATTGTATAAATGTTTGCTTTAGAGCCATGAAAGGTGCATACCTATTTAGGGCATGTGAAGTTCTAGTTATAAGTATAGGAATAATTTAATTATTACTTAAGAAAGCATGTGTGGCAATCCGAATTATATGTAATCTCGTTTGTGCTTCGATTTCTTTGGTTACTAGGATGGAATTACTAGGGAGTTAGGAAAAATTTATTTGAATTATGATAAGTGAGCATTTATTTGAAATAGGTGAAATCTTAGTTGGAAGATGTGGAAATAAATTAATAAGAAACATATTGATAGATTAAAAATATTTGAAAGGACTTGGAGAATTTTTAATTAATAAGTTAGATTAT